CCAAAATGTAAAGCGTGGGGGACATATGGAATACCAAGGCCTCTTGAATTCCACAAATGTTCCTCATGCTTTTGATTAAAATAACACCATGCTGGAAAAACGTGCGACTTTCTTATTAAACGTGATCAACATAACAAGGTGTGTCATTTGTCCGCAACTATCATTGGTCCGTCAATTGACTCATTCACCCTTGAATAAATACAACATGTAGCACATAGGATGCTAAAAGATGGTCTATTATTTTCAGGTTGCTTGTCCTAGACGGACCCAACCCCTGTGTTGAGTCCCNTGATGGGGAAGGTTGTTTTGATTCGCTAGGGTTTTCTGGTTTTCTTCTTCTTTTAGGAAGATAATGAATAGTGGTTTTTTGGTTTTCAAAAATCTGTCCTCCCAAAATTTCAAAAGTCTCCCCCCCCTCCAAAATCTGTCCAGTCCGTGTATTTGTGTAGCTTTGCCAAGAAAAATGAGCCCCACACGTGGTGGGGTTCAAGGCTTGTGTCCCCCACGCGTGGTGGGGTTCCCCATGTGTCGTGTTCCGTCCGTGTTCCCCACGCGTGTCCCTCATGTGTGGTGGGCTCGGATTATTATGGGCTAGGTCCGAAAATTAGGCCTAACACCGGATAGTTTAAACCCGAATATTATTCTTTTGCCCGGACCTGATTAAGAATACGACGTTGTTCGACTAATCCTATGTAAGCAAAATAGCTACCAAAATAAGACTAATATTTAAACAAAACTATATCTTTTTTTAATATTTTTCAAGATTAAAATAGCTACGAAATATTAATAAAACTTATTTTTTTTTGTAATTTTTGTTTTTATATAAAGATAAAATATAAAGTAATATTTTGTATTTTTTCAAAATTTAAAATGACTACAAAACATTAATAGAACTATATTTTTTTTTTGGTAATTTTCGAAATTATGTAAAGTACAAAATAAGGTACTATTTTTTGTATTTTTCAAGTTTATGAGAAATACATAAACTAAAAATTTATATATATATTTTGTAATTTTTTTTTCTTTTGCGACGAAATAAAGTAAAAATAGTTAAAATGGCTATATTAGACCCAATTTCACATATTCACGCTAAAAATGTGAAAATTCTCGGGGAGGGTCAAAAATCACGTGTCTACAATCGGAATCAACAAATCCGCACGATAAGAATACAAGAATGTGAAGTTTCCTAAGGGTCAGTCTTTTATGTCATTTAACTATTTTTTTGGCCATAAAAAGTTATCAATATATATAATATTCAAAAAACCTAGGTAAAAAGAGATTCTTTTCAACGAGTATGGCAGGAATTTGTCGAAAATAAACAGATGCGCCAGTACACAAATTTGAAAAAAATTAGAGATTGACAGTGAAAAAAGATTAGAGGTGATTTGAACTGTTTTGGAGTCGAAATTTATAATTGAAATTGAATTGAAAATTTTCTCTGCGACACATGTATAGGCAGCAGTGGGGAATTTTCCGCAATGGGCGAAAGCCTGACGGAGCAATGCCGCGTGGAGGTAGAAGGCCCACGGGTCGTGAACTTCTTTTCCCGGAGAAGAAGCAATGACGGTATCTGGGGAATAAGCATCGGCTAACTCTGTGCCATCTCACATGCTCAAATATACAAGGGATACACATGTATTTTACACGCTCAAATATACAAGGGATACACATGGATACATAGCTAATCATCTTTCATGTTCATACTCAACTTCGAATTTGGCCCAAATTTTAATTTGAACCACCTAAAATCTCCACCAAATAGTCCAAAAATTAAATTTGAACTTATTAAGATTCATTGAAACAAAATTCAATTTTGAAAAATTAAATTTTCGTACTCAAGCGATCTTCAATATGGAATTTAATGGTTTAGTGCTCCGATTTAGATTGTTGAAGTTAGTGGAATAGCTTATACTTCACATTAAAATAAAATAATCAGTAGAAGAGAAGCAAAGTTGCACAAAGAGAAGAAAATTACTTGAAAGGAACATGAATATATAAAACTAGGGGAGTAATTGGCGTTATTTGATTGATCAAGTGATGTAATTTAATAGGGATAGTAACTTGGGCGTTAGGAACATGGAAGCATCAAAACAGAGAAGCATGAAATAGAGGAGTTTAGCTACTTTATAGCTAAAAGGCAAAATACATAAACAGTCTCTGTCCATAATGATTAACTGAATATCTTAACTTGACATGACCAGACAAACACCTTTGCTTTGCTTGGCAGAAATATATTCTTTTAAATGACAAATCTTGTACGTTATACTCAGATCTAATCGTGTAAAGATCTTTAAAATTAAATTTATCTTTTTTTTTTTCTTCCTAAAATCAATATGGACCCCTCCTAATTTTTAAACCTCCTCCTTCTCCAATTTCTCCTCCACATCTTGTGCCGTCCTCTGCCCCAAACTTTCTCCATCTTTCCCCTAGAAGACAGAAAAAACACAACTTCCATCACTATCCACAATTAAGCAAATCCAAAAATAAAAAATCTCCACTATTACACCACCACATAACCACTAACTTTCTTCAATCTCCCTTATTAACCCCAAATCTGAAAAACCAAAAAGAACCAATCTAAGACCTTCGAATGTGAAGGCAATATTCTTCATGGAGCTCCAAAAGCACGGATTTGTATAGATCAGAACCATCAATAGGCTTACATCATCTGTGTAAAGCTTTGATGAAACTGGAGTCATGGCTGCCGGCGGAAGTTACTGGAATAATGAAAATGGGAAATAGAAGAAAAACCTGAGTGCATGTTTGGGGTACAGAAATTGTGACTTCCAGCGGAACCTTTGCTGCAACGTACTGTCAGATTTTGCCTTTTAGCCCTCTTTTTTTGTTGTTTTACTTGGCTTAAGTAATGATTTTGGTTGGGAGGAGGAAAAGAAGGGTTTTTTCTTCTTTTATTAATTAAAAATTATAACTATTTCTTAATATAAACTATAATTTGTTTAAGAGATACATGTGTCACTCGATAATTTATCAGTTTGACATGTCATCAGCGAGGCTTGTTGTTCACGAAATACCTATGTCAAATAGAAGTGTTGTTCAATCGATCGTGGTGAACAATTTAAAGGGATTATTTATATATTTTGCCTAGTTAAAATAATAATTTAGGGACAATATTGTTAGCTTATATTGCTGTGGGCTGCCAAACCAAGTAGTTCTCTTTTTATTTATTGGCAATTTAGGGATTGAGAGCTCTTCACTTTTAAAGCAGAATATTTTGACGTGTATTTAAATTAATCAGGTCTCAAAACGAATATCAATATCATACAAAATCAAAAGGTAATATACTTTCTTTTAGAAAGTAGTACAAATTTTCATTTGCCACTAAACGCTAAGAATGACGTACTTCGAAATGTAAAAGTTTAAATATATATTTAGTGTGAAATTAGACATATATAATTTCCTTCAAATTTTCTAGATAAAGTTTAATATTAAAACTAATAGCCGAATAATATCCGTAAACTCTATAGTCTCTTTGAAAAGTGTTTAATCTATTATTTTTAGATTAAGCAATTAAATTAATTTGTTAGACCTCTAGCAATATGTTTGAACCAAAGTAGCTGAATTCAAACAAATAAATCAAGATTGGATTGATAGATAAAATGCAAATATTAAATATAAAACAAAATGGAAAAGGTTTTTATTAAATAGAATTTAGGCTTTGATGTGAGGTTAAAGTGTTACACCTTATATCATTATTTATCCTATGTTTTACTTGTAAATAGTGATGATTCATGCTTTAATTAAGTTAATTTTATTTAAAAATAAAGTGAAAAGAAAGTTGGACAAAGAGGCATAAAAAATACTAATAAAGTGGAGCACGAGAGGAATCACGATCAAAAGCCGCGAAAAAGGTAACCAAATATTGGTGCCTCACACGACATTTCAGAGCCTTACACGGCGACTTGTGAAGTCACACTAGCCAGCTTTGGACGCGATGCGCCACTGCCCATGCCTGAGGTATATTGACTTTGACTCAGTTTGGGTCTTGGTTATTTTAGCCCTAAATTCTTCTTAAACTTAAATTTTGAGAGTTAAAGAATATTTTTGAGAGAATAAACGGCTGGAACGAATCACAAGAATTCTTCTTCTAATTCTTCCTAATTTATAGATTAACTAGTTAACTTATCTAATATTATCATCAAATTCTAACTTTAAAACATGCGACTTTAGTAAATGCCATGTCACCTTAAATATGACCAGTTTCAAATTCTTTTATGTTTGTTGATTGAAAAATAGGCTAATTACCAAGTATAACTAAGGTGAAACATAAACTCATCTTTTCCCGAATTTGTCCTCCTACACTATTGTTGTCCGTCATTTCTTCTCTTGTAGCACTCAAATTTCTTTCATTTGTATCTAGAATTATATAATTCAAAATTTAATATAGTAATAGTGTTTATTTCTTATTTTTATGATAGTATGTAATAAGCTCATACTCAAATTATGAATTCAACCTGTAATAAAATGAGTTTATTTGGGTTAAAAATCATTTGGGCGCAATTCATTCATTTACATTGGTATTGCGTAAATTCTCGAACTCCTAAATCAAATTAAACTATAATTTAAATTTGTTTCAAATTCAAGTCAACTCTAAGATCAACCATAATTTTCCTAAATCAAATTAGAATTTTTTTTAAAAATAATTAAATCACGTTTTGGTCAAGTACGTTTCTTTAATAATAAAATCACATATTTATAAAACTGGTAATGAATAATTTTTTTTATCTATCCTTAATGTAATTATCTTCAGATTTTGACAACCATGAATTAATTAGATTAAAGTATCTATCAGCTCATATAATTAGCTGTCAAGGACTTTATGTGATTTCAGCCTCCTTTAATTTCACAAAATACAAGTCTGTTCGGCGGGCAATTAAGCTAATCCAGATTTAAACCAAAATTAAAACAATAATGGGACGACCCACAATTCTGTTAAAAATTGGTACCACAGGAAGAACCAGAAGATAGAGAAATGGGGGAATTAGATCAACTTAGTTTGGAGTCATTTTATAAGTCTGTGCAATAGAAATTTAAGAATATATATGTGTGTGTTCTGCCTTTGTTTACAAAATAAAAATAGAAAACACAAAAATAAAGAGCAATTATGTCACGGTTATTGGAGAAGAAAAACAGAACTTAAAAGACTAAACTTGCGTATAATAATATTTTTCTGCATATCAGAAAACAATAGCCCAGTCCGCGAGGGAAGAAAAAGAAAGATAAAAACGGTTAACAATTGCATATATAGATTACTTTATCATAAAATTGATAAAAACTTTACAAATCACGTATCTCTAATATTCAATTATTCAGTTACAAAATTAGAATACAAAATCTTTCATAATTAAAAAAATAAAATAAAGAAGAATACAAATAACCGGATTATACCAGTAATTCCGTTATGGTTTGGTAGGGCTTGACCTTGTGCTGCAGATGTAGTACCGACTTTGAAGCTGCTTATTTCATTATCAAAAAATAATCTTAATCTTGTTCAAAAAGCATATACAAACCCGTAGATAGAATATGCAGCACAAATATAGGGCATGAAGCTTTTAAGGAGGAAAGAAAAAGGATGAGAATGAATGGAAAGTATTAATTCTCCACTATCACACATTCAAGGATTATGAACGTTTATTTCCGTTTATAAATTTACAAGTCCCTTTATTATTAATGATGAATGCAGCGTCCCTCAGTTACCTTATTCTAACCCTCCATTGCCTTCCTTGATTACAATAATTATAGAAAATTTAAAAAGAACCAAACAATGAGAGAAAAAGCCAAAAAAATGAGAAAAAAGATAAATAACAATCCTAGTCTATGAGATGTGCCAAGTCATCATTTTTATTCCCTCCTTTATATATATGTAGATGCTTTCAATCATTAATGTGATTGTTAGCATGATTATGAATAGCTAAATTTCTATCTAGAGTTTGATTGAACCATTTGAAGGATGAACTTCCTTTATATTCGAACATAATTTTGTCTTTGAATTTCTCTCCGTGTTCAACTGCATATTTATTTTAGTTGATTGAATGGTCATCAATTAGCTTTGCCTATTTATTATATTTCTTGAGAAAAAAATATATATTTAGATGATTATCGAACAACATACTCTCAATATATATGAAGGATAAATACGACAGGTGTAAAGGTAGATTTAGAGATAATAAATTCTTGACATGATCATATAAGCAGTAGAAAAAGTACAACTAGTGTAATTCGAGAGAGTGCGTTGAGTAAATAATCGTAGTTACTTGAGAGAGAATTACGATAAATGAAATGCTCATGATCCTTAGAGAATAATTAGGTGAAATTATAGGAGACATAGCGGTGAAGATTCCAACAATTGAAAAAATGATAACTCTAGGCTTTTCCAATGTTGTCTAAAACACATTGTTAGTGATAATAATTGACTGTGTTTCTTTATTGCTTAATCTTAGTCATTAAACAACCAAAACTTGCTATTTGCTACTTCGAGAAATTGATTGCTTGAATTCCTGCGAGACAGATAGTTGCGATTAATAGATTAATTCCTTATAGGATTTAACTACGGACTCTAAACCAGATTATAGTTGTAGTGATAGCTAGAGATTTTAAGAGAAATAGTTTGGCGTAATCAAATTTTGGCTCTGTTACCGAGGAATTAACAGTGTTATTGATTATGACTATTACTGTAATTAACTATTAATAATTAAGCACTTAATAGTTAATCACAAAAGACAACAGATGAGCAACGAAGAAATATCAATGAGAGAAGTAAGGGTCTTTGACTAGATAGGTGCAAAATAACTTACTCGGTATCCAATTCTTGAGTTAATTTGCTCTGTAATAATGTTGATTCTCACGAATTCAACCGATAATCAGATTACACTTGAAGTTAATGTTCCTCTTTTGATTAAACGTTAATTTTAGTATTAAACCAATTGAAGCATGGTAAACAATTACAAAAAAAAATGATGGTTATGATTTAAAGGGCAACTTCTCACTAATATGGGTGGAGGTCTAACACTTAACATTCCTTGATTATAGACTGGTAGCATAATCACCCAATGATTTTCCAGCCCGGGTGCTACATTCTCGAACTGGTCTTCAACCAAGGGTCGGTTTAGATTGAATCTTTGACCCCCATTATCTTCGACAGTCTCTTCAGCAATTCTCCGTGCAGCTTCTTGTTGTGATGACTCTCTTGTAGCTAAGTCTACTCAGTCTCTCTCTTCGTTTTCCATGATATCTTGAGTCGAAGTTTGTCCCAAGAATTTTTTTGTTAATTCTCTTTCTTTTATCAGATGTCGCAGGTGTTTCTCTAACTCTGGTCCGTAAAGTATCACTTTCTTTGAAGAAGATTGAGTCATGCATCAGAGAAATAAAAACTTGTATCCTGCACACAAGTAAGAAAATGTGAATAACTAAAGTAAAATTGGTTCTTGAATTAGTACTAAAAGCTATTTTGAACACTATTAATTACTCATTCTCGGCAAAAAAAGGGCAGTCCGATGCACTAAGCTCCTGCTATGCGTGGGGTCCATGGAAGGGCCGGACGCAAGGGTCTATTGTACGCAGCCTTACCCTACATTTCTGCAAGAGGTTATTTTCATGGCTCGAACCTGTGGCCTCCTCGTCACATGGTAGCAACTTTGCCAGTTACACTAAGGATCCCCTTCAACGACGCCAAAATTTGACGAGCGCAAAATACTATATAAAATTATTACTCGCTAGTCAAAGATAGTATAGTTTAATTATCGTCTCTGCAAGAATTGTATTTAAACAATATTCGAATAATCTTCAGTTGATTACTATCCATGAAATTTAACACTTGATGTGATGACTATTACTATGATTAACTACTAAAAATTAAGCACTTAACAATTAATCACAAAAGCCATCATATGAGCAACAAAGTAATATCAATGAGAGAAATAAGGGTATTTGACTATATAGGTGCAAGATAACTGACTCGGGATCCAATTCCTAAGTTAATTCACTCTGTAATATGGTAGATTCTCACGAATTCAATCGATAATCAGATTACACTTGAAGTTAATGTTCCTCTTTCAATTAAATGTTAATTTCAGTAATTAAACCTATTGAAGCACGGTAAACAATTACAATAATAAAATGATGGTTATGATCTAAAAGGAAACTTCTCACGAATATTTTCCTATATTTTAGTCTGATTAACAATTTAAGAGGCTTTTTTGATTACTTAATTGAATCACGAATTTAAACTAGA